ACGCAATTTTCCTCGATAATAAAAAAATAAAATTACCTATTTCTTTTATCACATAAAAGCAGCTGATCAAATAAAATAAATTTATAATATTTTATAAAATGAACGTAAAATAAAATCGCATATAAAATAAAAAAAATTATGTTATGGGTAAATTATTAAAATCTTTAATTAAAAATAAGATATTGATTGCATAATTGCATATTCCGATAAGAATTCTTAATACTAAAAATTATTTTAAATAATATTATATTTAAATTTGAATATTGAAAAAATATACTTTTTTCTTCCAATTGTTCATAATTATACTTTATAAAGGAATAATTAATAAGTATCGAACTGGTTGAATTGAAGGTGTCATCACTCTCAAAACTTTCAGCTCTGTGTGATTTTACAGGTTTATATAATTCATGCAATAAATTCAATAACACGTCTTCATTCATATATTTTATATAATTTTTAAATTTAAATTAAAATTTTTGCATTTCTTAAAATTCAAATTTTAATATTTATTTTTATATCCTCGAAAAAAATATTTAAACATAAAATATTTTAATTCAAAGGTATTGTAATTTTATATCAGTAATGTTTATAATAATATGGTTAAATTAATCATAGGTAGAATATTCTATAATGTAAAAATTCTTTAAATTTAGAAAATTATTATAATTTTTTATATAAATATAAATATTATAATTTTGAAATTAGCAGATAAGCTTGCTTATTCATAAATTCATTTAAATACGTTTATTTTTGAGGACACGGTTAAAGATTTTCAATTATGTTTTAGCTCACCAACTCAATAACCAGTCGTTTTAATTATTATTAACCCGCCTTCCCATTAATTTAAAAAACATGTTTTTGGCATTCGCCAGCCCATGATTTTGAAATAAAACCACTTACCCACTTCTTTAAAAATGTTGAACTCGCCCACCCATAGTTCAAAAAATTTCTAACGCTTGTAAAAATGATTGAGAAATACGAAATATTATCCTAGTTTATCTTCAAAAATGTTTTATAATTTAGTAAAAGAATAATGATAAAGAATTGGCCATTGCATACTTCATATTTTAATAACCAACTGTTTCCTTAATTAGTTGGCGTTACCAGACAACGCTTGTCAGTCATTTTTTAAAATATCGAGCAGAATTCGATGGCCTTAATCGTCATTAAACTGGAAATATGCCTTAACAAAAGATTTGCAATCAAATCAGTCATAAAGTAATAGAGTCCACATGGTGAAAATCCAGCTACTTACACTAAGTAGACAGAATTGTGCTTGTACAATTTTGGAACACTTTTAAATCACGGGGGAATTTATTACTCCCATCGTCCGAAATATATTTCCTCATCCAATATGCGGGTTCACATTGATCGGACACAAAGATGTTTAAGTTGCTTTTCACTATAACGAATACGAGAACTGGGGCAACCGGTTATCTTTGTTTTACATTATTTTATAAAGATATTAAGTTTATCTAGTCTAGTATATTGAGAATAAAAAAATATGTATTTTATTTAAAATTGATAATCATTTAACATTTACTTAAATTAAAAAATCATTGCAAATTGAGATCAAGTACTTTTATTTAAAAAAATTTTGAGCAACTATTTTAAAGATTTTTATCTCATTTTAATCAATATTAAATAAAAATCTTTGAAGATTTAAATCTTTGGTGATTTTGGGATAATAAAATCAGTAATGATATAAATATTTGGTGATTTTGGGATAATAAAATGGCTAATAATCCAAGTCTTTTGTGGTATGTTATTATAAAAAAACAAAAGGTACTCCCTTCATAAATTTTAAAAACAATGACTTAAATTTTTAATGCTCTACTACCAACTAACAAAATATTGTCAACAGAATATTTTTTTAGAACATGAATTCAATTAAAACCTCCACATTTACAATGAATGCATTATAATAGTATATTGTTTGAGATTAATATGAGTTTACTATTAGAATCTCTAACCCTTTTAATTTACATTTAAAAGGATAGCAGAAAGGGGTCCAAATTGTTTTATTTGGAAAATAAGATGTATGATTATGTGCAATATATAGATTTGGTGGATGCTCATTGTGTATTATAAATAGTCTATAATAAAAGTATTAGTTTTTATAGCAATTCATTTTGCACTATTTCATCTAAAAATTTAATAGATAATCCTCTAATAAATTTGTCCTACCTCTTGTATATCTCCCTTAATACAGATTACCCCTCAAAAAATGGATGCAAACTGTTCCTACCCCCACCGCTCATGTAAACGCAGTTTAGGTTCAACTCAAGGAAATTACCGTTTATACAGCTGATTTATTTGACTTTCTATTTGTCGAGAAATATGTTAAAAAATATCAACACGCTGCCATCACAGATTGAAAATATAATAAGGATTTGTTAAACCTACATTTTTTAATCAAGTAAATAAATTAATTCATATTAATGATTAATTTCAAATTTATCACAATCAATAAGAAAAAGACATGTAAATTACCTTAAAACTAAGGATACATGCTAATGTTTTATAAATGTATTTACAAAATATTTTGCGTTAAATTTTATTAAATTTTAGATTGCTATGATTATAGTAGTTGTAAAATAAATAATTTGTATCAAATCCCTGCTTACCTTCTTAAATAATATTCCTTCATTCTTTTAATAGATGGTTTAAATTTTTAGATAAAACTATATTTAAAAAATTTATTAAAAAGAAATACTTCTATAAAATATTTAATCCGCAAGTTAGTGTATTATTATTAAATAAATTTTTTTTTGTTTTATTATTATTTTAAAAATCATATTTATTTATCTATAAAAACTGATTGAAGCAAATTCTGATTGAATTTCAAGATTTCGAATATGTGGCAATAGTTAAGTTTGATAGACATTTATGTTTACTTAAAACTAAGATAAAATGATATTTAGTAAAATAACATATTTATTTCTTATAATTGCTTTCATTCTTGGTTTTAAAGTAATTTTTGGATTTGTCATATATAATTCGTAAAATCTTCTAAAACATCTTAATGAATATTGTATTATTGTTGTTAAGATATAAATTTTGGATGAAATAGTAAAAGCCAAGTCCACGCTTGTGTAATTAAGAAAGTTTTAAGGTTTCTTTTATAAGATGAAACTTCTTATTTAAAATAGGAATATTAAAATAAATTATTAATATTATATATAATCTTCATTAAAAACGATTTATCTTCTTATACATACTTTATTTTTCATTAAAACAAAATACATTATATCTAAAAGCAAAGCTTCCTCAAACATGTGATCATTTTTTACAATAATATCGATTAACAAAAACTAATTCCAAATCATTTTTGATTGACATTTCATATATATCATATATATAAATATATAACAAAAATACAAAACTATAACAGTTTCAACCTATGTTTTAAAGATTTAATCTATTAAATTTCTTGGACCATTATCATCAGTAGACGATACCCCCTATTTGGTAAGCCTTCGACCCGCATTTGTATGGCTTTCGACCGAGTTTCATATGAATATATTATACTGTTTAAATTGAAATGTGCAAACTCTGAACAATTATTCTGAATTTCATATTTGGCCATTTAATATGCATACAAATAATAAAAGTAAAACAATACATGACATTTCTAAAGATTATATTTTTTAATACAAAATATTCATTCATTTATTACAATATTAAATAGTTTCGATTGCGGATATAAAAAAATTTGCGTCTAAAGAATTACAAGCGATAAAAAAGGTTAATTAATTCATATACTGCCTCAATTGATAATGGTTTTTAAAAACCACACAAGGCATGGTAACATAATTATCGGCATAAAACTAATATAACGCTGTGTTATCATTTTAGACAATGTTTTAGAGAATTGATTATTAAGTACTAATTTTTAATAAAGTTTTTTATAAAAACATATAAAAAAAGAGATGGAGAAAAAGATATCATTAGGATTACATCCATTGTGAGATGAATAATGAGATGTTTAGTTTTTAATAATTTATATTTATTTAAAATAATATATGGCATTAAAGAATTGAATGCAAATTGCTACTTATATTTATTATCAAATGCATTAATAAGTAAAGTATACCAAAAACTGTAATATATTCTATAATTGTCAAATATGTCTATAAAAGTGGCATTTTACCTAATATTTTGTAACCAATTCTTTATGATAGAGGATTATCAACTATATGTCTACCTTCTTTATAAAGAAGTTTCTTATAATTATTTGGAGCTTGGAGATATTTTTAAGAAGAGGCATGTTAAATTTAAGAATGTAGTTGATTAGTGATTTTGAACTCGGCTAATTACAATATTAAATTTGTTAATTTTCAATTAATAAATAATTTTATTTATTTAATTAGGCTTAAATAATTTAAATAATAAAAATCAATTAAGCTTCACCTGTTAATGCTAAATTGATATTTAGACATTATGATTGATATTCCATTTTTAACACAGAATTTGATTGCAAGCTGATATAATGAAAATTTAATTTATTGTATTAATCCAATCTAATAAAGCACTCATTTAATAAAAATCTAGAGACTTATTAATTTTTGAATAATCAAATCAAATCTATATAAAACTTGATATAATTATAAAAGAAATCGTTCAGGGGGCTATCAAAAAGGTTTATTTTTAGTTCAGTGGGATATTAGGGAGCCATTAAAAAAATTCCTTTGTTTCAGGGGGCTATTCAAAATTTTTAGGGGACTGGAGTCCCTGCACCTAACACCCTACTTCCGACGCTACTGCTATAATCTGCCTCTTACAAGTCCCTAGTAGATTCTTAAACTTGTCCTTAAAAGGAGATTTTATTGCAATTGTTTTTTAATTCATTGATAGATTTTTATGTGTTATTTTCACCCAATTTTGAATAAGCTCCAGGATATGAGCACATTCTAATATGTAATATTATTTTTAATATAATTTTGACAGTAATCTGTTTGTCAACTGTGTTACATTTATCACTTTTTCTTTACTTTCATAATTCAATGGGAAAATCTTCCAAACATAGGAACAAATCAATATCACGATCTAGATCCAGATCCAGATCTTATTCCAAACGTAAGGATAAAAAATGTAAGGATGAACGCAAAGAAAGAAAAAGATCAAGATCTACTGATAAAGAAAAAAAATCGAAAAAGTTAAATACTTCTAAAGATGAAATCCAATACATTAATAAGTTAGAAAGCAACAAATATTCTCCTGTTAAAAAAGAAAAAACAAGTAGAATAAAAGAAAAAAATTATTATTCTAATAAAGGCAAAAAAATTGAAATATTAGATAAATCAACTAGCAGTGAAAACTCTCATAAATTGCAAGAAAATAAAAAAAGGAGTAAAGACTATTCTGAAAAAAAAGGTAAGTTTTCAGATATAAAACCTCAAAAATATAATCATACCGATATTAAAGAGAAAAGAGAAATTAAGGATAAAAAAGTTGATAAATCTCACATAGACAAAAAGAAAATATTTGATATAGCAAAAATCCAAGAGCAAGACAAAAGAAATATAAAAGAGATGGCTAAAAATAGTAGTGAAAGAAAAACTAATAAACATGACATATCAAAAATGAATATTAAAATTAATGCTGATGAACTTGATAACTGTATTGGTAAATTTTCAAAGCCTATTGATCATAATGATAAAAAAGAAAAAGATCCTTCCAAATTGCTTCAATCAACTCTGCGTAATGAATCTATAACACAATTTACAAGTTAATGATTTATACATAATTACCATATATTTATTTTATTTTTTTTAGAATTTTGTCAAAATTTATCTGTTGATGAAAAAAGTTCATATGAATGTAAGATTAATCATCCTTATTCAGAGCCAGTTAGGAAAATTATATCAACTTCACAGGTATATTTATTTTTAGAATAATTTTATTATATTTATATAAAGATTACATCTATAGATGTTGAAAAATCTTCTTATTCATCCATACCTGCCTTAGAATATAAATCTTCAATTTTGACCCAAATTAGCACACCATCAACAGTCCCTCTTCTGTCAAGTCAGTTACTAACAACCAATTTGTTATCGTTGCTACCCAATCAATCGGATCCTATTATAAAGCAAAAAATATTTCCAATATCTTCTGGAAAATCCCATTATGTAATTAATAAAAATATTTAATATTATAACTTTATTTTATAGCCTAGTGCTGATAGCCAGAATATACAAAATTATATTTTAGAAAGAAGCCAAATTGTGAAATCACTGACAGTAAATCCTTCTGATGAAATTGGAGCACAAAAAATGAAGGAAATAGACACTAAAGTTTATAATATCTTCAAACATTATTTGATAAGTGTGTATTTGAAAATATTTTCACATTTTATATTATTATCTTACAAACCTATAAACCAGGCCTGGCTTCAATGTTTAAAAAATATGTTTTCAATAGGAATAATTAGTAAATGATGTTTCCCAAATTATTTTCTTACAAATCCTCCTCTTTGTGGGTATTTTAAATGTGTTTATTTTTTCTCCCAACATCATCCCAGTTTAAATAAATTAAAACCTTTAATTTTATAGTATTAAGATGATAGGAAAGTTGATAGATAAAATAAAATTAATGTTATAGGAAAACATCACTTCTTGATTATGGAGATTATATATTAGATAATAATATTTTATTTTGTCTACCTCTTCCCATTATATTACATTTACTTTTTTGGTCAGATTTTTATAACTTGCATTTATTTTACCAATATTTTTAATTTTAATATATTTGATACCATTTTCTATTAATATCTCTGCCAATTTATATGGTTTATAACTCAATATTTTTTAAATCTATTTCAAAAATCAATCTACACTTTAATTACAACAAAAAAATAAGTATATTACCTTTCAAATATTTTAATATTTAAAAAAAAAATTCTGATATAATATATATATATATATAATTCTTTGCATAATATTTTATTGAGCAATAATTTTTTTTACCTTCTATCAATGGTGTGATATATCAAAATTATTTTCTTAAATGACAGACATTGGTAAGAGTTAATAGAAGTTTGGTTAAATAGTTGGTTTTACACAACAGATTTTTGTTCGAAAAAAATGAACCAAACCCAACCCAACTAAATGGAATGATCTGGCTTATTTAATCTATAAACCCAAAAAAGGACCTGAGAATCCACCTGAGCATTGATCCAAACATCAACCCTCCAACAAAAGCATCTACCCCAGTATCACCTAGCACCAACCCAAACAACTTAATAAAGATTTTTATGGATATAGAATGGGTAGTTTAATATTAGCATAGAAATAATGATCTTTAATAATATTCAGAGACCTGCAGAAGTACCATTTGGCGGCCCAGCTGGATTTCTTTTAAATTTTTTTTTTGGCCCAGACTGGTTCAATATTTTCAGGCACACAGGTTTATTTAAAAAATAAAATAAAATAGGACCTGGCCCATGTATTTGAGCTTAGGGCCCTGGCTGCTGCACAATAATATTAGATTCCTTTTTTTACAATTTGTTCTATTCTTAATTTGAAAATATTGTAAAATTTTTACTCTACACTAGAAATCGAGTTTGTGATCATGTACCCAAATTAAAAATTAGAGGACGAAGTTCAATATTCACATAGAAATAATTATCTTATTAATAATTAATATTAGATTCCTTTTTTTATAAATTGTTCTTAAGATCTGCAAAATATATATTTTTTACTTTATACTAGAGATCTGCAAATCATGGCATGAATAGGTCAATTCAATATTAATTAAATAAATAGCATAGAATTTGAAATAATTATTCTAGGACTAAAAAAATAAATTTATTATGGGAATTTGTCAAAAAAATTCATATAGTATATGTTTATTTAATTAATATTTTTACTAGGGTCTTGCCTAAAGTAAAATTGGCTTAGGCTTAAGCCTTAGAAGTGTTAGCTGAAGTTGGGTCACATCACTGCAATAATTGCTCAAGTTTAATTTCAAGCTGAAATGTATTTGTTATTTAACCATAATTTGCTAAACATGGGCCTACACATATGTTTTTCATTTTTATTTTAACTACCCCCCCCCCCCCTCCCATATATATCGAACAATTTTTAAAAAATACAAATTTTTTTTATACAATTCAAACATATCTATTTGTATTATAATTAATATACATATGTGCCATAAAATTACAAGAAAAATCTTGCATAATAGGATTTTTCTTAAATTGTGGCTTTTATATAAAATGGATTTAGAAGAAATCAAAAATGAGCATTCTATAAATTTGCTTAGGTGTTTGGATCTTAGGCAGAAATATCTGTTTAACAATAATATATTTAGAAGTGGGATTTATAGGTTTAATTTCCAAAATAGAATCTATCCATCTGAAAATGATAAATCGCTGACTATAGGGTAAATTTATAATCTCTTACTTTAAATAAATTATTTTATTTTGGGACAATCTGATGTCTACATGGAAATAAATTAAAGTTGTGATAAACCAAAAGTTTTAATAGTTTTGATAGAATTTTTACTGGTCATTAAATTAAAAATAAATAAAAATTGAATCTTATAACTTGTCAAACCATGATGTTTTTTTAACAAAACAAAAATTTATTTTTATAAAGATAATTATAAATATTAGAATAATTGAGATGATCTTTGTACAATATACTTGTTTGATTTCCTCTGAAATTTTATTTAATTCTTCTAAACTTATAATTAATTGTTTTGCTATAAACACTTATTAAAATTATACATACTCAATTGTTAACCATGACCAATATATTGTCTTAAAAAATAAAGATATCTTCTACTATAACTCGGTATTTTTACCGGGGATAGTGTTTTTCCGCAGCATTTTTCTTAAACATTAATTAGCCATAGATATGTGAGGTATAAAACCAGGGATGCGAACCCGGCAAAATTTTTGCCTAGGCTCGGTTCGGGTTTGGTTTAAGGTAAAAACATAGGTGGGTTTGGGTTCGGTTCAGGGAAATATTTTTGAACCCGGGTTTGGTCCGGCTTGAGCTCGGGTTTAAGAATTTTTGAAATAAAAAAATTCTATATTTAAATCATAATTAAAAAACTAGTCATAAATTTTTTATTTTATTTATAGGAAAAAAAATATAGTTAAAAATACAAAGCATAGTCATGTATCAATTTTAAAAATTTTATTTAGACCTATTTCTTTAAATAACAATATACAATAAAATTTATTAACACTCCAATAATGACACGAGTTCATCTGGCCGTCTTATTTGGTTTATTGAAGTATCCTAGCACCCAGCTATCCAAGCCTGTCGGCATTTCTCAGTTCAGAAATTTATCATATCATATGTCTATACACATCCGTCTTAGAAGAAAACCCCGAAATTTTTTAGTTCCTTACCAGGATTGAATCTGGGACCTTAGGTTTCCAATCTTCATCATACACTACTGGGCCACCCCAGCGAACTTTATAAAAATAATACCTTTTTACATTTCATTAGATACGTTCTATTCCAGCGTGAAGCCATGTCTAGCGGAATTATGGTACCACCACTTATTTTGGTATATTGTTCCTTAAATTTTGGGGAAGTAGTAAACTTGCTTGACGGGCTTTTGGATGAGTTCCAATTTATCAAAAATTCTAGTCCATCTTGTTCTATAGGATTAATTACATGGGCTGGACAACGATGGTTGCATAATTTGATTTGTAAAATAGTTGGAAATGATCTTTTAAAATATTAACGCCACTTACAATGTTTTCCCATTGTTGTGGGTAATTGTGAATACCTTTTCCATAATTTGCAATTCATTAAAACAATTAATTATCAAATCTGATATTTACTGCTTAGTATGGGGACGAGGGAAACAAACAATGTTAAGCAATATTTGTTGTATATATTTTATATAGTATGTTTATTTAATAAACAACAAAAAAAGTTAATATACCAATTTAAAAAGATATATTAGCTTTGTTATATAAATGTTTATTTTACTGTTCTGCTGCTATATACGATTTACATAATTATTTTTATTTGGATATATTTATAATTATATATTATTATTCAGTCGTTTTACATATACACCAAATAAAATATTACTGATATTCATAATTCTGGGCTAAAAATCCTTACAAGGTGGAGGATACGGGCACCAGCTTATTGTAAGCTGGTGGGGAAGAAGCCCCGTATAATTCCTGTGCTCGCATGGTATGGTACTGAAGACTAAGAACCACTTATTAAAAGAAAAATTGATGATTACTCACGACATGAAAACAATTACCATATATTCCTGTGCTAGCATGGCATACTAAAAACAAAGAGCTGCTTATTTAAAAAAATAATTTTTTTGTTGATTTGTATGACAATTTATAGTATATAAGTGTATTATTATATTGTAAGTTTAAAATGTAATATATAATTTTAATCCATAATAGGAAATTATATGATTAATTATATTAAATTAGTTTATTAAGGTCTTTTGTAATATAATATTTAAAGTTAACCCATTATTGGGAAATATTATATTACCATTTTAATATCCCCACATAGTGTAATGTATAGTTTTTTTAAGTTAAAATTATAATTACTATTATGGATAGCTAGCTATATTACCCCTTCGCAAACCTTTTCTATGATTTGTTGGTATAGTAATTATTGTTATTTCATCCCTTACCCAATATAATGTAATAATTCCTTTCCTTAATGTAAATTTTTGGATGCTACCTATGCATGTTGCATATATTTTATATAGTATGTTTATTTAATTAACAACAAAAAGGTTAATATACCATTTTAAAAAGATATATATTAACTTTGTTATATAAATGTTTATTTTACTGTTCTGCAGCTATATACTATATACATAATTATTTTTCTTGTTATATAAGTATACGTTAAATTATATTTGAATATTTATATATTATTATTCATTCACTCGTTTTACATATACTTTAACCAAATAAAATACTACTGATATTCTTAATTCTGAACTGAAAATCCCTACAATACCCATTCACTACTGATAAAATGAATTGTAATATCACAGTATGTTATGCTATAGGAACCAAACTGATTGATAATTTACATATATTACTTGATTTTTTAATAATTATATTTTTGACGGATTTATATATAGTAATAACTGCTGTAAGTAATGTATTATTTTTACAAACTATTAAATTTTATATCATTGTTTACATTAATATATTTATTTAATAGAGAATATTAATTCCATTATTGAATTAGGTCAATTATGCCCAGGAAAACATGTTGTTATTAATAAGGAGCTGCGACGACTATTAAAAAATCTAGAGAAATTCGATAGTCCCTTCTAT